CTATAAAAAAAATCGTTTTTATCGCTTATTATATTTTAATTATCTAGCCCGAAGTTGCAGGCGTTACAACACACATAAACAGATTTATGATTAGAGATTCCACGTTGCTTTTCTTCATAACTTTGATTTTGAATTATGCTTTATGAACAAATGGTTTTGTCTTGAATATATCTTTATGAAAATGGGTGTTTATTCCATTTTGAAAAATGAAAATTTTATTTTAAAATTTGGGACGTTACAAGATGATCATATGGCCATCTGTGATTTTATGCCTGGTCAAAATAGTCAAAATGATTTTTTTTATAGAAAACTTGAATTCACATGTGAGGAAGCAAAATCACATGCGTGCTAATGAAATCGCAACCGGGTCAGGTCATCTACTATTTTGTTAGCTAAAATTTGATTTTTCTTAATTTTTAGGTATTTGGTAGAAAGTGATTATGAAAAGTGGCTATATTTGTATTTTTCTATTAAAAATAGTTATATAACAAAGAATCTTAAAAATTAATAATATCAAAAAACACTATAACACATCCATGTATCCATGGTAAATTGATGTCATGCTCGCCTACTAGTAAGAAGACCGTTTATGAGGGAAGCGGCTACTAGCCAATTAGAGGGTTCCTAAGGGGAAGGATAACAATGTGATACGATGCTAGAAATATGAACTTTGAAAGCACGATCTTTGATATAGAGTTGTTGGATCTGACAAATGTTTACAAAAAGAAACTTTGATATAGCTTGTTAAAGTGTATGGTGCGGTTCGGTTTTTAGTTGAAATCAAACCAAAAACCAAAATGATTGCTTTTTGGTTTATTGAAACAGTACGGTTCAATTTCTCATTGTAGATTGATTTTGGTTTTTGCTTACGAATTGGTTTTTTTTTGTTCAGCTAGGATTTAAAACCAAAGTAGTTATGGTTTGATTTTATTTGGATCGGTTTTAACCGATAAACACAAGATTTGGAGAAAAATCTAGTTTGCATCTTGTTTTCCTTACCAACAATTGTTCACTGATCACTCCATTTCTATATCAAAAATCTAAAAAAAAATAAAACTGACAACGCCAAAAACAAATATACACCAAAAATACTTGGTTGAGTTGAAGAGAATATATTATGAATAAACACTTTTAAGACGACGTATCTTTAGTGTAATTTTTAACGGGGAGTAGAATGGTGAATGTTCTATGTGTTTATGCCCTTATTATGGGTTAAGTGAGGCGAAAACAAGGCATTTATGGGATGCATTGGAGGATATGGTTAGAAGCATTATTGATGAACAATGTTTGATATTAAGGGATACTTCAGTTGTCATATAGTAAGAGAGACATATGGGTACCCATGATTTTATGGGGATATGATTTTGGTTCTAGAATGATGAGGTCGATTGTTGGTTGAGTTTTCTATGACTGATGATTTAGAGATCGCAAGCTCTTTTTTTAGAAAGAGGGATGTACATTTTCTTTTATTCCATAGAGTGAACATAACACCCAAACTGAATATGTCCTATTGTGTAGGGTTAAATAAACTCTCTTAAAGGAGTTATTATAGTGTAATGAAGATGAGGAAAAAAGCATGGAGAAATAAAGATACAGTGAATCCAAATGAGAGACAAAAAAATTTGTGGCTATATGACAAGGTGATGCTATACAAGGAGATATATAAAAGATTAGGCTTGAAAGAATGACAAAATGGAAACTTCAATCTCGCAAAAGTCATGGAGAGAAGACAAAAGGACATAGGTGAAATTAGGCATATTAAGGACAACAATTTACGAGTTCTAGTATATGATGAGGATATTAAGAGGAAATAGGGTAGCTATTTCTACTCTTTATTTAGCGAGTGACCCTCGATCGTTGGAGATAAGAATGTTGGGTGCCTTGTATGAAGTAACCATGCTTGCATAAGGGTCATAACGTGATGATTAGTAGTAAGGAAGTAAAGACGAATCTAAGGATTATAGGGAGGAACAAGTCCATTGGAGCAAATAAAATTCCTATTTGTGCATAGTAGTTCCTTATTAAGGTGGGAGTTAGATTGCTAACGAACAACATTTTCTTTTAGACAACCTATATATCTAGGGACTCAAGATCTAACATTTTTATATTGATATAAGAACAAAGGAGAATCCCAAAGCTTCAACATCTATTTTTAAAGGAGAATTTCTATTTAGAACCGACTCCCCGAAGGTGATTCATCATTTTATGAAGATACAGATACATCTTGCCTTTCTTTGCAAGCACCAATGTGTTACCCCCTTCTTGAAACTTTAGGAACGATCTTTAAATCAATTGGTTTCATATCAATGAGGTCAACAACTGAGGTGATCCACCTTTTTGGAAACCATATGGATTATTATAAAGAAAGGAATAAGGATCTTCATATGGTGTTCATCAACAAGTGAGAAGATGTATCATAACATACCTTAAGATTTTATTTATAGGACTTTGAAGACTAGAAGGGTTTGAAGGAGATATATTTAAGACTATTCACGATGTACATTGTCGATCTACGACCTATGTGCATGCTCCAGTTAGTGACACATAATCTTTCTTGGTGGATGTTAGGCTTCACCATGGTTCGGTCCTTAGTCCATCTTTCTTCATGCTGATTTTAGACAAGATGTCATGTGGGATTTAAGGGGTGCCTTAGTGTTTTTTTTGTCGGTGATATTGTATTGGTGGCCGAGACAAGGACTGAGTTGAAGTTAGGATGCATTGGAAGAGAAGAGATTACGAATAAACATTGTTAAGACGAGGTATCTTTAGTACAATTTCAACGAGGAATAGAATGATGAAGGAGTTGATGCATGTATTTGGAGAAAGTTCTACACCTAAAGGCGATTTCGAGTACCTAGGGTCTATGATCCATAAAGGATGGGATGTGAAGGTTGAAGTTACCCAACACAAAAATGCAGGTTTGTTAAAGTGAGGGAAACTATAAGAGTATAGGGTTTTGGTGACAATAAGGTCCCTTTGAAACTGAACGTAAAGTTTTACACGTGGCGGTTGTGTCACCTATGTTATGATGCATGGATAGGAATGTTAACAGAGTAAGAGGAAGATGAAAGTATAATAAATGAGAATATTGTGGTGGATATATCATAAAACTTTGTTGCATAGGATTCACAATGCAACATTCATAAATACGTTGAGAGCGGTACCGATCACTATAAAATTAAGAAAAAAAAGGATCATCCTCATCATTAGTGTATGTGCCTTTTTTTTTACTACTTATTTCTTTTTTTTTTCACTAAGCTTTTTCGTGTCAAATCATTGTCAACTTCAAAAACCAAAAAGCAAAAAGCTTATGAAACCTTTCACTAGAGATGTGCATCGAGACAAGGTATCTGTTTTTGGAACCAAAGAACCGCTATAGAACCGCCAGTTTCGGAGAATGTGGGTAGTTACGGTTCCTAAAGTTTGGAACCGATTCTGGTTCTCATAATTTCGGAAACGCTACCTACCGAATTGATGTTTTTTAACAAAATTATTATTAATAATATATAGACAAAATTTCATAATTGGTCCCTGTGGTTTGCAAAATATCTCACTTTGAAGACTTTCAAGGAAAACGTCACGCCACTGGTCCCTGTGGTTTGCAAAATTACATGAAAGGCCCTCCTGCCGTTAAATCGAACTTTTCAGCTGTTAGATTTTAATGAAAAATATTATTTTACCCTTGTACCAAGTTTGCAATATACTACAAACCTCAAGGACCATTTGTGTAATTTTCTAAATTTGAAACTTTGTATATATTTAAATTATATATATATATATATATATATATATATATATATATATATATATATATATATATATATATATATATATATATATATATATATATAAAGGATCAAATGAGAACACCTAAAAGGTTGAGAACGCGAGAACATTTCTGAACCAATCAATATATAAGGGCATATAGGTAAACTTGTCTTTTAATTAAATTATAAAAAATAAAATAAAATGATATTTTCCTAAATTTTTGGGATTCTAATTGACTGTTACCAAAAAAAGGTTTTTTTTCCATTTTCTTTATATCATTAATGAAAGAGATAAAATTATCAATTTCAAATGATTTTATTTTGCTTTACGTGATTCTTGTCCTTAAATGAATAAATATTAAACTAATTTATTGAGTATACAATTGACTGAAAATATATAACAGTTTACTAATTTGATGATTTAATTTTATCAAATAGTGTCATATTCATAAATGAAAATGTCGTGACTGGATTTGTCTTTTGTTTTTTGTTCATGAATTGATATCCAAAAATGATTAAGAATTCATCATTTCATTACAAATAAATACGCCTCTAATTACAATCATAAATGAATACAACTCTAATCGAATACATTTACCATAATACAAAATACATCTAAATTCCTATATTTTCAGTAGTTATATTCATAAATAAATATAAAGTGAATCATAAATAAATGCCTATAACATTGTTTTTTTTCTTCCAATTTTCTTGTTGCTATCATACATATAGAAACGAAGAGCGCTGCATTTCCTTGCTTTACAGTTATCCTTCTTCGAAACATCAAGCTCTAAATTGCACCTGTTCAAAACATAAATCATTAATGTATAAAATCATGCAGTTACAGTATACTTATATTCATTGATGATTAACTGCAAAATAAGACATTTGACATTGTATTCATATAAGATTACAACTAAATTTATATTGATAAATTAACAGTCACATTCATAATATATGAACAGAGTTAGAACAATAAGAAGGGATGAAAATGAAATCATACGAAATTCTGAATCATTTCTCTAAGATTAATGCATCAGGGGAGACGAACAGAGAAGCAGACAGAAGATCAGAATTCTAGTGCTAAAATGGGAACCGCAGTAAACAAAGTATCATAGAGCAATAGATCAAGAATGCTTCAAACCTCATAGATTCTCAGAACATTTACAAATTAAATATGGTTTTTAACTAGCGGAAAAAAAAGAACACAGGTAACAGTATGAACGTGAACATTCAGATTGAAGAATCTTGCCGGAGACTATACTGTGCCAGCCCTCCGCCAAACCCACCTCCGGCACTAACAATAGCAGCAGCCTTATCGGCAAACACGTCCGGTGGCCTAGATGCCCAATCGATTGCGTTCTTCAAAGGTGTTGTAACCGTGTAATTGTACTCAGGAGAAGCAAAGAGGAAACATTCAGATTGAAGAATCTTCTGACGAAATGCTTCGACCTCCGGTGGAAATTTGTCGTCGACTTCGAGATCTGTGTTAAGCATCGGCAACAGCGATATGTCGACGTTTACGATCGACATCTCGTCGATCGCTTGGGTGGCTAATTCAATGGCGGCGCGGATGAGGCCATGATGGAAGGAAGCTTTGCGAGTGGAACCACAGATGGCAGCAACGTTAATGATCGGTTTGGGTGATGGCGAGGTCTGATGGTGGCGTAGGGATGAGGCGGTGATATGTTGAAGATGTCGATTTAATGCTCTATGAGATTAGGTCAAGAAATAAAGAGGCAGAGAGTAATTATAGGAGTTTACAAAATTAGGGTAATGCTTATTTACCTTAATAGCCTTTATAATTTTCTTTAATTTAAAATTTTAAATTTAAATGTATTAATAATTAGAAAAATAACAATTAATTATAGCCACACATCTTAAAAATTAGATGGTCCAGATCTGTTCTCGCGTTCTCAACCTTTTAGGTGTTCTCATTTGATCCTACTCCTATATATATATATATATATATATATATATATATATATATATATATATATATATATATATATATATATATATATATATAATTTCAACAATTTAATAACTCTTTTTTTATCTCTTCGACATTTTATTTTATAATTTTAGTTATTTATGTTTTTTTATGTATTTATTTATTTTAAAGTATAATACAACTTTGGTGTTTGAGTTTTTGTTTTTCTATTTTTCGTTACTTGAATCAAAATAAATAAAAACAATAGAAGAATAATAAATAACTAAAATTATAAAAAAAATAGAAAACAAAAGGTGAAATAATGATAATGATAAACGCAAACATAAAGTTGTTAACAATATTAACTATGGAACATCCAAGTAAAAAACATGAAGGCATAAAATTTAAAAAAAAAAAAAAACATTAACGCTTCAATTCACAAATAAGAAAAATTAAAGAAAAACTTGTTCGACATGGTTTATCGAATTTAAGTTTATTTACTTGAATCAAAATAAAAAAAACATTAAAAAAAACCATAAATAACTAAAATTATAAAGTAAAATTAGAAAACAAAATATCAAAAAGATAAAAAAAAATTATCAAATTGTTAAAATTATATACATACATATATATAAAATTTATATTTATAATTTATATATATATATATATATATATATATATATATATATATATAAAATTTATATTTATAATTTATATATATACAAAATTTCAAATTTATAAAATTACATAAATGGTCATTGAGGTTTTATAGTATATTGCAAATTTGGTACAAAGGTAAAATAGTTTTTATCATTAAAATCTAACAGCTGAAAAGTAAGATTTAACGGCACGAGGACGTTTCATGTAATTTTGCAAACCACATGGACCAGTGGCTTGACGTTTTCCTTGAAAGTCCTCAAAATGAGATATTTTACAAACCATAGGGACCAATTATGAAATTTTGTCTAATATATATGATTGCATGATTTAAAACTTGACACACATTTTTTTTGTTACTGGGTTTGTATTATATTACAATATTCATGAAGAACTTTGACATTTTTGAAAACTGACTATGGACCTTTGCAATTTTTTATCACTATTGCTGCTGCTATTGCAATTTTTGTTACTATTGCTGCTATTGCATTTTTTGATTACTACTGCTATGTTTTAATTTATTGCTGCTACTAATTATATTAGGACTTCATTAGTTGGTTTTAAACTCATCAATTTGGCATATAATTTTTTATTCTAAAAGTGTTTTGATATTAAAATAAGTTAGCAATTTCATATTGTGGTATAAACTGAGTTAAAATGGTTAGAAATCAGAAACAAGAAAAGAATTTTCTTAGATTGAGAATTTAATTAATTATGAATGAAAATATTCTGACGTATGAGCTTGTCCGAATGTGATATTAGACCAGTGGCAAACAGAAATGGATCGGCCAACATATAACGATCATTAGAAAAAATTTCATTTATTTTCATATTCATCGTTCAATCAGGATTATGTCACTATGAGAGTCTAATCTCTCAATTGATAATTTTATTGTAAATTTCAATATATATAATTTATTTATGTTTTAAAAAAATAAAAGGGTTTCCAATATTTAAGGAACCCTATCATCGGTTCCAATTCCAGTTCTAACATTTCAGGAACCACCGATTCCGGTTCCCGTTCCAGACACTAGGCACGCCTCTACATTTCACTATAGTAAAGTTTAGGTCTCCTGAAATAATTAATAAGATAATAGAGTAACAGATAATAAAAAAATCTGTTTTAAAAACTTATAAATTCACAAGCATGTAATAAAAAGCTCAAACGACTTCATTGTCTAGGGGTGAGCATGGTGCGGTTTGGTGCGGTTTTAAGGCCAAACCGAACCGCAAACCGCATGGTGCGGTTTTTGTATTCTTAAAACCGTTGGGTGCGGTTTTGCAATGGTTCGGTTTTTCGGTTTTTAAATGCGGTTTCGGTTTGTATCGGTGCGGTTTCGGTTTTAAACCGTGTTTAGAATTTGGTGTAGTTTTTTATGTTTTTTGGTGCGCTTTTTTAAAACTGTAAGAACTGAAAACCATGTGCATGTAAGTTTTTATTGTGCTGTTTTTTTTTTAAATCATTCATTTTCAACTCAAACAAAAATACATAAACAAAAACTGGAAGTCGCTTAAAATATAACTTGTGACTACTCAGAAACTAATTAATAATTGAAGGTTGGTTGATTTTGACATAATTTGTTACAAGCTTATTACATGTAATCGATAAGTACGTTTAGCTAACAATAGAACATTTCTTTTGCACCCCATATAGTCTTACAAAAACACAAAATAAACATATAATAAATATATTATCGTTTATAAGTAGCATGTATATAATATACATTGATTGATTTATTACTATACACGCTTGCGGTGCGGTTCGGTTTTGGTAGGCCGGTTTTTTGGATAGAAACCACACCGAACCGTTGACCTTCGGTTTTTGCAAAAATTAAATCCGCACCATTGGTTTTTGCATCAGTTTCGGTTTTTCGGTTGCGGTCTATTGCGGTTTTGTCGGTTTTTCTTTAGTCGGTTCGGTTTTTGCTCAGCCCTATCATTGTCCATAACATTTTCTGACACTTTTATTTCTCACATCAGAGCTTGTATCTTAATTTTTTCATTCATCTTTGAAGCGCATAATGTTTCTTTAAGAACAAAGCATTACAATTTCTATAAACCAAGAAAAAAAGAACTACATTTTGTATATATTTTTATACTTATACAAACCAATAAAATGTTAATGAGTGTTAAAATTGCAGGAAGGAGACCTCAAAAGTGAACCACCATTGAAGCAATGCTTCATGCATCTCCTTCTACCCCTAAGCTAACCCCTCCAGTCGTAGGCCTATAACAATTAAACAATTTCCGATTAAACTTCAATTGTAAAATAGATCAAATAATCAGAAACTGAAGAACAGTAACACTTACAGTCCATTAAGCACTTTAATCGTATCATAGAAAAACCATTGAAGAGTCACAACAGGTCCCACAAGTGCAACTCTTATAGGAAGACTTCTTGTAAACAAATTCATCATTCCAATACTCTTTGCAACCTGCAACACTGTGTGATTAGCCTTCTTGTTATATAAAGAAGACACAATATTATCAGCTGGATTCGAAATCACAGTTCCCACAGCTCCAGCAGTATACCCAGCTAAACATGTCACCCCTAATTGTTGTCCCCTCGAACATTCCTCCTTTCTCTTTTGAACAAACTTTCTGTAAATTAGGTCAACCGAATGCTCAAATGTTGAGAACATGATCATTGAAAATGGAAGATTACGTCCCCAAAGTGGAAGAAGCCCCTTGTAAAACCCAGAAATTCCTTCTCGTGAATATAATTTTGGGAACCCATCTGATAATCCCTTTGCGAAATTGGGTTGTGTTTGGACACGAACTTTCACAGCTTCAAATGGACAAAGAGCAATGTCTGCAAATACTTGAGCAGATGCACTACTGAGGAAATATACGATGCTTTGTCTTTCGTCTGTTAATACATCTGTGTAACGTCTTTTGAAGAATTCGTAAAGTCCGAATTTGAATCCACCTTGAACGCCATAGCCGAATAGTTTACCCGACCATCCTCTCCATAGAGACGAAGGACCTTCTTCTTTCCAGAGAATATTGAGACCAGAGGCGATACTGTGAAACTTGATTGGATTCACCTGTGTTAATGAAATTGACACGAAAATTGTCAAAAGTATGTAAAGATTAAAGAACCCTAACGCAAAAATCGTTGCGAGATCGTTGTCATGGAGAATTGATGCAGAATGAAGAACTTATATGTGTATGTGCGTTAATGGAAGAGGGTATTTGACCTGCATATTGACTTTCAAGACATCAAGAGGGGTGACGGCGAGATGGGTGGCGCCGGCGCTGAACATGCCACCGGCGGTGCATATGCCATAATAGTAATACCCGCCTCCTTCCACCCCCAATTTTGTTCTGAAATCAGTCATTCCCCCTTCTTCAAAGAAAACCCATATCTGATCTGCCGAAATCCCAGAGATCTTTCTTCACAGGCTGTTATGATCAGATGAATTTTCAGGGTTTTTGTTAAAGTTTGGGGAGAAAAAGAGGGTTTAAGGTACGAAAGAGGGTGGCTGCGGGGAAAATTCTCTTGATGGAAGTAAACCCACGTTCGCAGTGACAAATGCAAGGCCCATATGATGATATGAGAAAGAGACACGTGAAAGATGGTAGCTGAAGTCAGCCGTGAACTAATTTGCTCCAAATTCGTGGGAATTGGATGCAAATTTGATAGCGACTGCAACCAATTCCAGATTGGATCCATTCGATTCTAGAAACTAGAAACCCTTGAAAGTAGAAAAAACATGGAATTGTCCACCCTTGGAACCGGACTGCACTCAATGGTGAAATTACTAAAATAGGCAACCGAATTGATCGTCTCGACAATTCTGATCCAAACGTCTCCTACTCCAACTCGGTTCGATATATGTTTTGTAGGTCCCCCGTTAACTCTGATCTAAACTTCTCCCGGTTAACTCTCCGTTTGATTTTTTTTCCACAAAAAGACTTAATATTTTTTCCATAATAATCTAATATTTTGGTATTTTTTCGATTTAAATATAGTTCCTATTATATGCTTTGATAATGAGTTTATGGTAGTCATGCTGACTATGACATTATGATGTTTTGCATATTTAGATGATAAATTTTTAATTATTTGAAATTTCTTGCTAAATGATTTTAAATAATGTTAAGTTTTTTTTTAAACGTCAAACTAACTAACCTACTACTCCTAAATAACCACCTATATCTCCACCGAGACTTGAACCCATGACCTTTCATATGAGAGGGTCACTCATTATCGCTAGGTCATTGACCCTTTGGTTAATCATGTACATATTGCATCTCATGCATAGGGTTATGAGTTAGATGACTTTGTGTGGTCCGAACATTTTACGAGGTTTTGAGGTTTCTCGCTCGTGTTACAAGTTTGATTCTTGGTGTGCCGGTGAGTAGAAATATGTCCAAAATGGAGTCTTGGAGTGAGACCGTCCAGAAGGTGGCTGTGAGACTGTACACATTTGTGGAGCCCAAAATTATCTCTCCAAAATAGTCATTGTGGAGAGAAGGAGGACTTCATATATCGTCACTTATAAGACCGTGTCGCACTGATGTGTGATACACTAACATATACATTCTAAATGGAAAGTTAAGTCCTTTTCTTTAGGAGGTGGATTGATTCTTGCCATATCAATGTTGGGTGTTATTCCTACTTACTTTATGTCTCTTTTCAAGGTCATGGTGGGGGCCTTGTCTAAGCTGGAGTCTTTGCGTAATAACTTTTTTATAGTTTTGATTTGGAGGAACGAAAGATGACGGGAAAAGGTGATGACGTACAAAAAGTATTGTTGTTCGTTGTTAACCGAGCTCTTTTGTTTAAGTGAGTTTGGCGTTTTCGTTCTCAAAATAATGCCTTATGGGTTAAAGTTGTTAGAGCAATTCATAGATCTCATAGATATTTAGATAGAGACTTATCTCCAAACAGGAGGTCAGCTTGGTTGGATATTCGTAAAGGCGTTTATAATTTCCAAGACAAATGTGTAAATCTTATGTCTTTGTGGATATTCGTAAAGGCGTTTATAATTTCCAATACAAATGTGTAAATCCTATGTCTTTGTGTTGGATAAAGTTGGGGGATGGGTCTCTTACTTCTTTTTGGGATGATCATTGGATTCACAATTTTCCTTTACAAATGTGTTTTCCTAGGTAGTTTGCTCTTGAGTCATTGGATTCACAATTTTCCTTTACAAATGTGTTTTCCTAGGTTGTTTGCTCTTGAGTCAGATAAAAAAACCTATTGTTCAAGCGAAGATGAAATCGTATAGTTGTTTCGATTCTTTTCATCAACTCCCGAGAGGAGGGGTTGAAACTGGCCAGTTAGTTAGTTTCGTTTCTTTGTTATCATTGGTTTCTTTAAGGGACAATAAATATAGATGGTTTTGCTAGTCCAGTTTTAATAAAATTTTGAGTTATCCTCTTTGATAACATAGTAAATCAATCTTTCTTATGGTGTAATGTCGTATTTAAGAAATATATTAATTGGGTTGTTGGCTTCAAAACCCCCAACTTGATATCATGTGATGTTTTTTCTTTGTCCTGACTAGTTGCTAGCTAGTCCAGTTTTATTAAAATTCTGATGTACAAAAAGAGAAGATAGATGGTTTTGCTCTTTGTCGGGTTTCGATAAAGATGAACGTTTTTGCTTGGAGGTTTGCTTTGGATATGCTCCCCATGAGATGTAATCTTGATAGACGTGTCATGGGTATTACTTCGGTGTTATGTATTATTTGTGATGATGGGTTGGATTCGATTAATAATTTGTTATTCTCGTATGTGTTGGCTAGAGATCTTATGCGTTATGTTATGTGCTGGTGGGGTATGTCGAGTCCTATGTTGTTGTCTTATGAAGATTGGTTAAAGGTTGTGCTTGGCTAAAAAGGTTAAGAACATCCTTAAAGGAGTTTTTTTATTGTAACATCCGTTTTCTTGGATGAATCGAATTAGGTTTTCAGAGGGTCAAAAGGTTGGATTTTTTGAGAAAAAGGGGTCCTCACAACGTGAGGCATGGAGGCTCACGGCGTGAAGAGGGTTGTATGAAGATTCTATCCGGTACTGAGCTCACGACGTGAGCAATAAGAGTTCACGACGTGAGGATCGCTGCAGCCCAAGCCCACGGAGTTTTAGGGTTTCCGACGTATTTAAGCCCCTTTAACTCGGTTTTAGGGTTCATTTCTCAGCCTCCACCTTCCCCTAACTCAGAAAAACCCTAACCCTAATCCATTTTGGTGATTTTGGATCCATTTTAGTGTTTTGCTGACTAGAAGAGGAAGAATGAGAAGTTTTGTAGTGTTGGTTCAGCAAGGAGGCTTCATCATCATCATCTTGAGCACATTTTGGACCATTGTAAGTTTCCAAGATCCAATCTTTATGAGCTCAAATTGCTAGATCTAAGTTCTAAGCTCCCTTTTTGCATGTTTATGTTGGATTGCATGCTCGGGATCCATAAAGTTGGCAACTTTATAGATCAATGAGTCATTCTCTATGGTTTAGTCATATGGATCTGAAGTATGGTTATAATTTATGAATCTTGTTTGAGTTTGGGGCCACTTCTTGTCATTTCGACCTAAGATGGGTTAGGACATGATTGGGGCATGCATGTCCATCAAGTAATCATTTTTATTGGCCTTTGGGGCCTTTTTTAGCTTCTGAAAGAATTAGGATTAAAGGCTTAATGGATTAAGGACTTAAAAGTTGGATTTTTAGCCTCAAACTATTCTCACGACGTGAGACACAAGGTCCCACGACGTGAGAAGCGTTATGTCCCGATTCTGGAGAGCTGGTTGGATCTCATGACATGAGGATAGGTCGCTCACATCGTAAGGCTAGCTCAGGTGGCATTTATTGACTGAGTTGACTGGGTTGAGTCGGGATGAGTGGGATTTGATCGAGCGAGCTCTCACGATGTGACCAAGGCTGGTCACGACGTGAGGTGTGGTTTTGGGCTTTGTTGGGCCATTGTATTTCTGATTGTGGGCCATGGTTAGGCTGTGGGCTTCCTTGGTTTTGGTCCCATGATAGTTTTTGGGCCCAATTAGGAAGTTAGGTCATATTGGGCTTTGAGTTGCCATTTTGGGCTTTTGGGTTGGGCCTTGTTTTTGGGCCAAGTAAGAAAATGGTAAAATGGTCTTTTACCCTTTAGGAAGTTGGTTTATGGAGTGGGCCTCAGATTTTGGATTATCGGGGTAATTATTGATCAAAGTTTGTATTTTAGTTAGTTAGCGCAAGGTTATCAGGTTCAGCAACCCGAACAGTCATTTGATTATCAGCGGATTGAGGTGAGTCCTTCCTCACTGTACTTGCGGGTCGAAGGCACCAAGGGTGGCCCTTTAGATTTGATATCCTGTTATGTGGTAGTATGTTATCGTGTTGTAGTAATTTGTTAGATCGGTATCTTGGTATATAGGATGATGTTATGCTTAGTGATCTGTAGATCTGCCTGACTGTCTATAGACTGTTATATGTTTATTTGTTATATGAGCACATATTTGTTGGTGGTTGACGCTTTATTAGTTATGTGCGTGAGCCAACAGACTGGGGGCATTCGAACCCGATGGTTGATTAGGCTCGAGGGTATTCCATCCCGAGGATGACTGGACCCGTTTTATATTTATATATATATATATATATATATATATATATATATATATATATATATATATATATATATATATATATAATATATATATATATATATATATATATTGGCATTCCAACCTGGGGCATTCCATTCCGATGGATTACTGGACCTGGAGGTTGACTGGGCCTGGGGTATTCCAACCCAATAGTTGACTAGACCCGACATGCTTGTTATGGTATATGATGAGACTGGACTGCTTCGTGCATCGGTCAACAGGTCGGTAGTATTCCAACCCGACGGTTGATTGGGCTCGAGGGTATTCCATCCTGAGGATGATTGGGCCTATCGTAGACATGCCTGGTATTCTAGTCTGAGGCTGATTGGGTCATGCATGAGTGTTTGTGCATGTGATTTGTTTCTATGGTGGTATTTTTGGGGAACTCACTAAGCTTCGTGCTTACAGTTTTGGTTTATGATTTCAGGTACTTCAGAGGACCGTGGCAAGGCAAATGTGTGACCGTACACATCCTTGGTTTTACGACTGATTGGATCTTGGGAGACTCTGATTTAAATAATGTTTTGGAAACAATGATTTTGTAAACACTTTTATTAGTAAATGGGTTGTTTTGAAAGGTTTAAATTTGTTGAAAATTTTGGGATGTTACATTTATACTTTTTAGTGGCGCATTTAGACCTTCAGAAATACGATGTTATTTGGTAAATCTACTCCTAAAAAGGCGGATTTGTTTGATAATTTTGTTATGTAACGCCCAGGAATTCATACCATGTACACCCCAAAATTTATCTTTTCTCATTTAAAATTTACAATTTATTTTAGTGTACACTGGCGATCTAGTATACAAGAAGTTATCACAAGGATCGTACTGACCACAAGTACATGATCAAGTCGGCATCACAAATAATCTACCTGCAAAATAAATCATCACAAAAATGTAACATGTATTTTCCTTTTTGACCCAAAAGTATAATTATGTTGCAAATTGGTCCTTACGCCAAGCGTACTTTGGGCGTACACTTGGCGTAGCTCATTACAAAGGGTCGCATGTGCATGTGAGTATGTTGGGCGTACTTGGAAGGTGAGCAAACCCTAATTTTAAGGTTTTGAGCACTATTTAAGCATCCATATCCCTCAAAACCCTTTCCTCCATCAGCCCCCATTTCCCAAAAACGTCCCTTGCAAACCCTAATTATTTGGTGTGTGATTTTGAGCTTGAAAAGAGTGTGTTCTTGTGCTTGTGAAGGAGGAAGAAGGTGCAAAATCATCTTGGAAGCTCAAGG